CACACACACACACACACACACACACACACACACACACACACACACACGGTATTCAGCTTTGTTCAGGTATTTTCCCACGTCATTATAGTTGTGCTTTTAAAGTTGTTGCAATGTTTCAGACGAACACAATACAGAAGCCTGATGAGGGCAGATGAGATACTGCCGAAACGTTGCTACAACTTTAAAAGCACAACTATAATGACGTGGGAAAATACCCAAAGAAAGCTGAATACCATACATACATACATACATACATACATACATACACTCTTAATGTCATTTTACATCTGTGGTTTTTATATGTGGTTTTACCCATTTGTTATGTGCCACCCAGAGTTGCCTCCAATAGATGCGTAACTATATAAATTTGATAAATATATATCCATAAATTTGATTATAAATAAATGCAGAAAGGGGAAGGGGTTTTGGATTTCTCAGCCCTCTGCAGGCTTGTTAAAACATTGCAGGGCTGTGGGGAAAACATATCTGAGAAAATTCTGCAAGCCTTTCAGAAGGAGGGGGCAGAAAAGTGGGAAAAATCAGAATCTCCAAGAAAAATGTACAGTACAAACAATCCTGCATTTGAGTGGGCACTCCCTATAGTTCACACGTCATAGATGTGGTTCATTCACTCTTTTTTTTTTTTGAAAAAAAGTTTTATTAATTTTAACCACAAACAAAAACACATAAAACATAAAAACATTATCCTCCTTCATAAATTTACAGACAGTGTATCGCTTGGTTTACCACACTTTTTTGTGCATCCATTTCGTAGTCTCCATTGTAGTTATATTATATAATAGCTCATATTATCAATCAACAATTATATAGCCTGATATCATTACTAAACAATCATTTGACTATAGTTTTAATTCATACTTTAACGAGATAACTATAATTTACTTAATTTATTTTACAACGAATCATCAAGTCATACCAAGTCTATCTTAATAAAATTTTATAAAAATAGTATCAAAGAAAAGGAAAAAAAAAGATGTGGTGCATTCACTCTTCAAAGCATTATATCTGTGCAGATTCTGCATAGATAATAAGGTCTCTTCTCAACCAGTTATGAAAAATGAGAAGCAGTGGGGCTTCCAATTAAAATACAAACAGCTGTATTTTCCAGCTGCAGAAGAGAAGCGTGGTGAAAATCCCACCCTCAGATTTCAACCTTCACGTCCCTGCAGCATACAAAGAAGCATCTCCATGGACTGGCGGGGTGAGCAAGCCGGCCACCCAAAAATGCCACCTACCAGCCCCACGCCAAGAAAATAATAATCGACTATTCATGAGGAAAACCGGATTTTCTCCCTCGCCTTCTTCAAGCTAAATCAGCTTTAAATAATTTAATTTAAATAATTAAGCATTAAATAGACACCAAATTAGAGGACGGAAAACAGAGGTGAGAGATGCAAACAAGATCCAGCAGGGAAGATCTCTAGGCGATCGCCACGGCAGGCTTTGGGCAGGGGGGAAATCAGTCAAAGAGGGGGCAGCGCGGGCTGGGGAGAGGGCTGCAAAAAGGAGGTGAAAAGCCCAGCAGGCGCCACCAAAGACGGTCCACAGCTCCCGGGAGAGGGAGGCTGCGTGCGCGATGGACAGCCGCTGGAACAAACCGTCCTCATCACAACCCAAACCTCCCTGGAAAATCCGCCGTGCATCGTCCGGGGTCTTCCTCGAGATGCCCAAGCCGCAGAGCCGACTCTGAGCGTCTTCTTACTCCATTCCCAACGATGCCCTTCCAGCCAATGCCCGCACTTGCAGCAAGAGAACTGCACCGCAGCAGCAGCAGCACCGCGGTGCCGCAATGCAATGCAATGCTCCGAGCAAGCAAAGCACCAAATGCAACAAAATAGCCATGCAGCACAAAAAAAACACTATTCTGCAGGATTCCCTGGCGAGCGCGCGAGCCTAATATAGCGATGGCGGCGCGCGCGCGCGAGAGAGAGCGGTGGACAGCCAATGAGAAGAGGCGCGCGCTCGCCCGCGCCCCACCCCCCCAACAACGCGAAATGGACGCCGAAGGCCCGCCTTTCCTATTGAACCAATCAGAGAAGCGGAGCGAGCGAGCGCCCGGGCCGACTTCCCGGAGCGCGGGACCGCCCCTCAGGGTGCGCGCGACGGGCCCAGAAGGGGGTGTGTCAGGGAACCCGGGAGAAGTAAAGCGGGGCGGGGGGGGAGGAAGGGAGCCCGATAATGGCGGCCAGGAGGAGAGAGCTCCGCGGCAGCTCTGAGGTAAAAATAAACATTGAAAGCGACGCTCGGCCGCGTTCGGGAAGCCGGGAGGCGCCGGGGCGGCGAGGAACGCCTCTTGACAGGCCCGGGGAGCATGGCGGGCAGCTGGTGCGCGCCCCTGTCCTGGGCCTGTGGAGGAGGCTGCAGCGAGCGGCCTGGCCCTTGGGCGACCGTGTCGTCGGGCCCTGGCGCTGCGGGCGAGGCTGCCGCTGTCACGGCCGCCTGCTTTCCCCACGCCAGGCGGGTGGCTGTGGGCGGGCGTCCGTCCGTGTCCAGATACGAAAGCGGCGGCCGCCGCGGCTGTCAAACCCCGGCCTGTCCGCACATAGCATGACGCCGGGCTGCCGAGTCCCGTGCAGCGGTGGAGAAGGAGGCCGGCCGGGGACGCTCTTCGCGGCTGCAGCCGGTCAAGCGCTTGGCGGCCGAGGGCGAGCTCGGGGCCCGCGGTCGACGGTGGGTAGACTGCCGGGTTGGGGTCTTTAAAGGTGGTGTTGGCTTGTCCTGGCCTCAGCTGAGAGGTCTGACAACCCCCCACTCCCCAAATGGGGTGTTTGCGGCTTCTTTGCAGGGGCCATTGCCCGGTCATGCCGCTTGGCGGTGCAGGAGCGTTTGGTGCACCTTTGGAGTGCCCTTTGAGGAGGCCCAAGGTGTAGATTACAGAGAAACCTATTCCTGAATAAACAATGCCTGGGCTCGGAATATAAAAAGGATGCAGCAGTGACTTCTCCTTCCAGGTTGTGAAAGAGGAATTTAGAGAAAGAGCTTCCTGTGGGATTAATTTCATATCAAAATGTGGACAATCTCCTGAACTGAGTACAGGCAGTACGCAAGGGACAGTCCTTACAGACAGTTCGCTTAGTAATCGCTCAAAGTTACAACGGCACTAAAAAAAAAGTGACTTACGACTGTTTTTCACAGTGGCAACCTTTGAAGCCATCCCCATAGCCATTTGATCAAAATTCAGGTGCTTGGCAATTGGTTTGCACTTATGACGGTTGCCGGGTCCCTGGGTCATGTGGTTTGCGACCTCCTGACAAGCAAAGTCAATGGGGAAGCCAGATCTACTTAACAATCGGGTAACTAACTTACCAAGTGCAGTGATTCACTTAACAACTGTGGCAAGCAAGGTTGTAGAATGGGGCAAAAACTCACTTAACAAACGTTTCTCTTAACAACAAAAAATTTGGGCTCATGATTGCGGTCAAGAGTCGAGGACTACCTGTAGAGGAATTTGGGCCTCTTCCACCCAGGTGTTTCTTTTGCTTTCCAGGAATATGATATGCTTGACTTGGCATGGGGGTGGGGGGTCAAATGAGCAATGGAATCAAGCCATTTCCTGGGCTGAATAATTTTGCCTCTAAGAAGGCATTTCCATAACAACTATAAGCCTGCATTGTTATCTTTAGAATGTGGCGGGTAAAATTCTAGTCAACCCTACTAGAGTGTTGAGAACTGAGCAAAGGTATGAGCAAGAAAGTTGATATTTGGTCCATTAAATAGGTTTGCGCAGAAAATACGCTTTTGCTGCTGTACAGATTGACCCAGTTTGTTTACACTTTTATTTTAAAAATGGGTTTATGAAGAGCTATGAATTACCCATTACAGTTCTCTGCTCAAATATGCTGTGTGTGTATAATACATTCTCCTGCAACTCTTTTTTTCTGCCATTGGAGGATGTTTAGCAGCATTCCTTGTTTCATTTGATTATTGTGGTCTCAGCATTGTTTTCCATACTGCTATAAGAAAAAGATAGCTAAAACATATCTTCCCCTGCATTCAATCTTATCCATTTCATAGGAAAAAAACAAGGTGCCAATTTCTGGATTGTACTAGTACCTTTGTTTTATACTTTCATGCATCTTAATATCTTCCTAATGTTAAGTATTTTGTTTGTAATATTTTTACATACTACTAAATGTTCAAGAGTAAGAGAAGTATCTTCATATGGGCAGCCAGAATCACTGCTTGAATCAGCATTATTTAGTGTACCAGTACTGTACCAGGGTGGTACCAGTAGCAAAATGGGGTAGTAGTCATGAGATTTTGTTTGTTACACATATTGCATTTTAGGATATAAAGGTTCTTCAAGATGGCTTGCAAAATACAAAGAATATGGCAGGGACATTCAAAGTTAGCTATAAATAGCATTTATTACAATTTTCAACTTCAGTAACCAGATCAATAAAAACCTTATTAAAATCCAGATATGCTTTTTAACAAATGGAATTCTACAATGATAGTTCTTAGCACTGGATTTGTTCTCTGAAATGATAGGTTATACTTGCAGCCAGGTAAGCTATAGTAGGCCTTGACAGGTTCATATAACTGCAAAAAGGTTTCCAAGTAACCTTATACCAAACTGCTTAAGACTTTCATTCTACGGTAACAGCTAGCAGTTGATTAGATACATTATACAGTATTATATGACTGAATTCATACATCATGTTAAATAATAGTTTGTTGATGAAACTAATTGCTTGAACTGTGCCAAATGTTAAGCAATAAATTGTGCTATATTTTGTCAGCTACAGTGTGTGGATTAACAAAAACTCCATTTTTATCTTAAGATGTGTGAAAACAAAAATCAGCTACATTTTTTGTGTTTTTATCTCCATAGACACCTTGACCTTGAAGATGGTGAGTAGCCAGCCAAAATACGATCTAATAAGAGAGGTTGGTCGTGGCAGCTATGGTGTGGTATATGAAGCAGTAGTAAGGAAAACCTCTGCACGTGTTGCAGTGAAGAAAATTCAGTGTCATGCTCCAGAGAACGTAGAACTAGCCTTGCGTGAGTTCTGGGCACTTAGTAGTATTAAAAGCCAACACCCAAATGTAATCCACTTGGAAGAATGCATATTGCAAAAAGACGGCATGGTTCAGAAGATGTCCCATGGTTCCAGCTCTTCGCTTTATTTACAGGTAAATGAACTTGCAGACAATGAATGAAAGAAACATTGTATTAAAAGTTTTTAAAAAAGGAACAGCTATTTGGTTTTCGAACAGTGAAATAGAGATTGCCATTCCGTATAAATACAGGAAAGCAAATATGTTTGCTTTTCTGTATTTGATATAGTTTTAGATATTTCAAAAATCTTGCCACTAAGCAACATTAAGCTTCAGGGAAACAACAAAGTACACCTCCACTGTAGAACACTGGGTCTTCCCAGACTATTCAATTAATTGTCTCTGAGTGCTTGTTTAAGCAGAAATGTGGGTTATACATTGGGTAAAAAAAATTTGTAGCATTGTAAGGAAAAAATTGCTCCCCATGGAAAAGGTACATTAATAATCCTTTTAATAGCTTTTATGTGGGACCACTTAAAAAAAATCAACATTGTGGTAAGAAATAGCTTGATCAACTCCAATGAAATTGGTTTTGTTCTTTGAACTCAATTATATATTGAGATTAATAAGATCAAGAATAAAATGCCATTAAAATAATATATTAGTACTCTTCTTAAAATGCCATTAAAAAGCTTTAAGATTAATTGTCCTCCCCATCCAGTATGCTACAGAATTATGACAGTCTATGAAAACAAGTTAGTTTTTTTTATGCCAAGCAGATTGTCAAAAGAGCTGCTCAGCAATATATATTTCATTAATAGAATATAGAAATACACTTGGGACATTTAAATTTAACTTTTAAAATTAAAAGCTAAAGCCTCCTGTTTTGTGGTTGTGCTATTTTATTGTTTTTTCAGGTTAGTCTGGTCACATTTAATTATACAAATAAAGAAATAATTGTGCTCAGTGGTCTATTAAATAAGTTTTATTACAAAGAGTTAAATTAACATTTGTGTTTATGCTCATAATGGTAATCTGTGATTTCTACCTCAAATTTATAGTTTGTAGTGTTTGTCATTTAACATATTATGCTAATTCATGGTTTGTTGAACAAACTACCAGCCCATTATGTGATGTGTCAAATGCAAAAGACCAGGTCCACATATGACGGTCCAATTAACTTGACTTATTGATAAACAGCCTATGCATAGGAATGTTCTCAACTAAATCATTGGTACCTTCTTCAAATTAGATAAGTGTCCACAGAATTCAAAGGGGAGATGGACTTAGTTCACTTGTGGTTATGTTGAGATAGGCCGAGCCTTCTTTTAACCCCACCCTCAGGGTTGGCCACTCCTTCTCCTAAATCTTGTTTGTTTTAGCTTAGCATAAATTGAACATGGACAATTATGATTTATTAAGTTATAAAGATTTGGTTTACATAACAGCCATAAACCACTTATAAGCCATAAGGATGAATTCATATTAAGCCCAAACCAAACTAACAACATTCTGGATCAGCATAATATGACTCACATAGACTCACTTTCTGTTTTAGCCCACATATCAGAAATGAAAGTATAGCTTGGTTTAGCTTTATAAACTACATATGAGCATTTTCAGAAGAGAATGAAATGATGAAATTCATATAATTTTTCTACTGCATCATGACATAAGCGATGTAAGAAAATCCTTATATTAAAGACCAGAAAATGTTGATCAAATGAAAAATGATATTAAATAAACATAGTTCCAAACTAAGTTCTACTTTTTTGTTTAGAAGCCAGTATTTTCCAAGATTTAGGGGGCCCTTGGACAGTCACTCATGGCTTGACTAATGTGCTGTACATTGGGATTTGAATCATGTTTGTTTAATATATACATGAAATTTCTTTGTATTGTAGCTTGTAGAGACCTCCTTGAAAGGTGAAATTGCCTTTGATCCCAGAAGTGCCTACTATCTTTGGTTTGTGATGGATTTTTGTGATGGAGGTGATATGAATGAATACCTCCTATCCCGAAAGCCCAGCCGTAAGACCAACACTAGTTTTATGCTTCAGCTTAGCAGTGCTCTGGCTTTTCTGCACAAAAATCAGATCATTCACCGCGACCTCAAGCCTGACAACATCTTGATCTCTCAAAGCAGGATGGATGCTAGTGACCTGGAACCTACTTTGAAAGTAGCTGACTTTGGCCTAAGCAAAGTTTGTTCAGCATCAGGACAAAATCCCGAAGAGCCTGTGAATGTAAATAAATGTTTTCTGTCTACAGCTTGTGGCACAGACTTCTACATGGCTCCTGAAGTTTGGGAAGGTCACTACACTGCCAAAGCAGACATTTTTGCATTGGGGATTATAATCTGGGCAATGTTAGAAAGGATCACATTCATAGACACAGAGACAAAGAAAGAACTCTTGGGCAGTTACGTAAAACAAGGGAGTGAGATTGTACCTGTTGGAGAGGCATTGCTGGAAAATCCAAAAATGGAACTACTCATACCTGTTAAGAAAAAGAAAATGAATGCTTGCATGAAACAGCTGATTAAAGAAATGCTTGCTGCTAACCCACAAGATCGGCCAGATGCTTTTGAACTAGAACTCCGGTTAGTCAAAATTGCTTTTAAAGACAGCAGTTGGGACACGTGACTTCCGAAGTACTTTGCCTTTTTGGCAGAAATGTGTGTAACAATGGTGCAGCATTTTAAACAAGCAAAAACCAGACTAACCCACATGTTATGTGTCAGGGTTCCATGTGTTTTCCCCATTGCATTTCTCTTTATTTTTGTACGCTAAGCAAAAGGTTGCTCTTGTTTCAGTATCCAAATATGTATATTCCCAAGCTACATCTGTAAAAAGCTTTCCAACTTGTCAGGAAAATTTAACAAGTTAGGCAATACTTTTCCAGGAATACTTTATGGAATATTTCAAACATTCCAATTTCTTACTGTAGAATCTTGAATGCCCTTGAAGGAGAAGACTTGCATGCTGGTAATGCAAATCATCAATCCACTTTGTAGAGTAAATGTGTATATATTTATGTCACAATGGGTGATGTAACCCCTTCCAATATGGAAAAGTATGTTCCAAATTTATAGAATTGAATGACTGTGACAGATTCTTTGATGCCCCAGCGTCTGTGTCCATTCCCTTTTCTTCCCCTTAAAACAATGTGATGACACGAAATGAGGTCTACAGTATGATGCACAAGAACCTCTGATTCAAGCAATGAAGGGAAAATCTTAATTTGGAAGGTTGCATTTGTATGGAAGGTTGTATTAAATAAGTTGATGGCTCATTCCAGTTGAGGTGCCAACACTTTGTTGTGACACATTTAGCTATGTTTTTCAAGGATAACCAAATGATCATATCATAGACCCAGAGTTACTGGTCACAGCTATATTTTATATTTGACATTAAGTCTTATTTGAATTCAGGATTTTTTTTTAAAAAAGGAAGATTTTTAAAAAATATCTTCAACTATGGTTCCCTCAAGATTTAGTTTGTTGTCCGGCAGAAATTTATTACCCCACTTCCCCATGCAGTTTGGGTGAAAATTATAGAAAATTGGGCACTGTTTTCTTAACACATGTACAGAGAGTGGCATGTATAATTAGTTCAACCAGAAGCCTAAATGTTCGTTCCATTACCATTGTGCCACACTGATGTGACATTACCACTATTGCCCGCTGTATTGGAACACAACTGGAGTCTGTACTGCTAAAGTGAATCCCAGCATCTTGTTCATACATAACAGTTAAAAAGAATTGAAAACCTGGTACAGTAAACAAATGAAAACTCAGTTTATGAGTAAATAGATAAATTTCATGAAAGGAAATAGTGTAGTATATGTCTTGAGTGTTGTCAAAAACATTTTATTGAACAGGTTGAAACTGTCCTGATGCCGTCAGCTGCAGCACAGAAACCAGAAGGTGAACTGCCCTATGTTTTCTTACAAGAAGCACTGTAGAAATTATGTTTTAAAATCCTTATTTGATATGCCTAGAATCTGAAAAGTAGATAAGAAAATATATTTGTTTATTCCTTAGCTGCTATGTCCATATTAAACAAGGGGACATTCAAGGGGATATATTTCTAAAACTTGAAAAATACTTTTTTTTGGTTCAATGTAGTTATCAGTGATGTAGTATCCTTTGCTTGCTAATAGGAAGTAGGTCTCACAGAATTCAGTGAGGTAAGATATGCATAGAATTATTACTTTAATAAGTATGCATATGATTGTTACTTTAATAGTTGATACAATTTTGGAAAAAATCAAATTATTATTTTTTTGCTAAAATAACAAATGTCACATTAACTCAGAGATATATTTTAAGAGAATTTCAACTAGGGTAGCATATGTTTGGCTTGCAGTGCTAAATTGTTTTAGCTGAGAATCCAGGTAATGTTCGTCCTTTAACTGAGAGGATAAGACAAGGGCTTGACTTATATACATTTAGAGTGTCAATGTTTCAAAGTAAAGTTCATTCTTTAAAGCACCGATCGTGCCTTTAGAGACAAGATTGCATTGTGGTTATCCTGTGGTTAATGACATTGTATCTCCCATCAGCTGAACAGTTACATAATATTTGTGTGAAACAAAAAGAATATGAGTGCAGGATCTTGACAGTTCTTACGTATTAGAAGAACCAGCAACTCTCCACCACATATGTCATAACTAGTCTGATTACTACATACAGTTTCTTGGCACAAAACAAGTCTTTCAGATTTTTGGATATATTATTTGGTGTACTTTTCAGTGCAGTGCAGAAGCTACAAATAGAGCAAATTATATATTGCCTAGTAACACAGTTAATGTTAAAAGTGCACTTGTTTCTTATTTTTAAAAGTTGGGGAAACTTCCCTGGTCATTTCTGTTCATGGTGCTTAGTATGTTGGCATTGAATGCCAACTTGATTGTTCCATTTATTACATACTGAATAATTGTTTCTTAAAATCTCTGTGTGTGATTTTTGTTGTTGCTTGTGTTTGGTTTGCTTTCCTGTAAAATCTTTGAAACCAATTGTAGCAGTCACAGAACAATCCACCAGCATAACATAGAATAAAAAATAACTCATCAGCACTTCAATAGAGAAAGGAATTTCAAAGCTTTCTGTTATAAATTGTAAATTTTATTTTGTGAAAAAATTATTAAGGGGAAATTATTGTGTAATTTATTGAGTTCATGACTTTTTTTAAAAAAAAAATAAAAGTCCAAATTTACCCACGGATTGTAATATGATTTTTAACATTCTTATTAGCTAAATGAATTATATTTTGTTGATTTTTTCCAGGACTGTGTGGTGAAGATAGCTAGACAGCTAGATAGATAGGTAGATCAACAGGTGTTTTTTTGAGCAAGAAGTTGAGTTGGAGTAAATCTTGACATCTCTTTCATTACAGAAGCAGTTATGAAAAATGGCAATGATTCACATGGCCTATTTTAGGTTCACATGGCCTATTTTAGGAGTCAATAAAAACAATATAATAGGTGGACAGTTTTGTCAATTAATCTACAGTGTGGCTTCACTCTTAATTCTCAAACATTCTTAAATACCTGTTCTTCAAGTAATGTCCTTATTCAAGAATCAACAGGCACAAAGCTTAATCTGATTTCCTGTTCAGGTTCAGCTAGAGCAAAATAGACTCTGATAGTACTTCTCTTGGACGTGCTTGGCTATAAGACATTGATGAGTAATTTTGTTCACTGTTCATTTCTGTGAAAGAAGTACACATCCTGATTTGCAACACAATTCCCAAAAATCAAGTTATATCTATGGCTTAAGGGTATATTTTAGCTGATAAAATTAGCACTCCCTGAGTGATCTGAATGGAGCTAGTACATCTCACTTTAGAAACTTGAGAGAATTTATAAATAAGTAAATTCCGTCTTGTGGAACTGAAAACTAGCTTCTTGCATATCAGGTTTCAAAAATTCTTGCTTATATTGCCTCAACATATTTGCCCCTGCCCTAACGTTTATGTGCTTATCTACACCTGTGGGAGGAGCAGCTTTGTGTAGCAGCCTGCAGAATTTCAGTGTCATATTTCCTACTTTCGATTTGTTTATGTTTTCTGAGAACATTTCAAATGGTGCTCTTCCTCATTCATCAGCCAATGAGGGCTTCTGGTTGAAACTGCAGCATAATGATAGATGGTTGGCTGGTGCGGTTAGCTACATAATTTTTTCATAAAGGAAGCTAAACAACATCTGAGGTTTCTGCCCTTTGAACATTTTACAGATGAAAACTCACACTGTTCGGTTCAAAATCCAGTTGAAGATACCTGCCCAATTCGTCTTGGTTAAACATACTGGGTTTGTGTTTTGAGTGTTTTTAAAAGTGTACGTTTCTAAATATTTCTTGCCTATGCTGATAGAACACCTAGCCAACCCTGGCTGGCTGCAAAAAACCCCCAAACAAGATCAGACTTGGTTAGTATTGGGGAATCAGCCAGAAAATTTCAGTTTAGCATTTAAGTCTATCAAAAAATAGGGTTGAAGGCTACACTAGACAGTACCGTAAGAAAAATATTTTGGAAGAAGATAGACCAAACATTTCCATATTGCTACTAAAAAAACTACAAGGAGTTTTCTGAATGAGTTTAATCTATTTTAAACAGTTTCTCCAACCTGGATGGTTCATTTTAATAGTAGTTTGTTAATTCACAATGACATAAGCCATAAACCATGTTTATAATCACAGTAACAGGGTTCAAATTCAAACAAATAACGTTATGGCTTAAGATGGTACGTAGACAGCTTTGCAGCCTTCTGTTGAAATCTATTTCATTCATTGTGAAATCTATGTTCTATTTCCTGGAGATCTTAATACATAGCTTGCTTTCCCATGCCTACTTTATAGTGCTATTGTGAGCCACAGGTTATCTTGTCACTCCTGTTGTTGTTTTTTAAAAAAACCATTTTCTCCACCAAGATAAACTGCAACATCACAAAGCATTGAGAAATATTGGTATTCCTCTGAATTCTTCAGGCTGGACAACCTATAACCATGATGGTGAACCTCTGGCACGCATGCCAGAGGTGACATGCAGACCCCTCTCTGGGCATGCATGCTGTCACCAGCTGCTTTTCTGGTTTCCGGTGCATGCATGCACACTGGCCATCTGGTCTTTGGTTTCTGGTGCTCCAGCGTGCACAAAGACCAGCTGGTTGGCGCATGCATGCACATCAGCCAGTTGGTTGTCAGTTTCCAGCATGTGCACATGCATGCGTTTTGGTTTGGGCACTCGGTGCTGAAAAGGTTCGACATCACTGACCTCTAAAATAAATAGACCAGTAACCCGACCAAATCAAATATTTTCTAGGCATGATAAAAAGAAATGTGAGGTCTTTGCTTTTCAACATGGCATGTTAAGCAAGCTGGGAGGATTCAAAAGGTGTTTTCATAATTTATGGGTTGAGCAATACTGGCCAGAAATGCACAAGACACAGGATAATAGCAACTGGGAATTGTTGCAGTACCTTTTATACCCTCTAGGTGGCACGTTTCTCAAGAGTTTGTTTCAAATTTTATTTTTTTCTCTGCTTGAAGATCTCAGCTGCATTCAATGCTATATTCTCACCTGAAGGACAAATGCAATAACAATAAGTGAATAATCAAAACAAGCACCATATCCCAGGATACTAAGAGGCACCTATTCTTAAATCTGACATTCATGCCATTTCCACAGAGCTCTTGTTGAGCAATCTTAACTTTCAGGAAAAAAAACAATGACTACATATTTGGCAAGCAGGAAATCCTGCACAGGCTCACTTCCTGAGAAAGGTTGAGTAAATGACTGGAGGGAAGCTACTTCCATAGAATTCCCTTTTCCAGAGACATCCAACCCTTGGAAAGGTTTTTTGTATCGTTTCCATAATGGATGGATGGATTTATGGCACCTATGACGATACAGATAGTCCTCAACTTACAGCCATAATCGGGACCAGAATTTCTATTGCTAAGGAAGTAAGTTGTTAATTGAGTCATGCCTGATTTTATGACTTTTTTTGCCACAGTTGTTCAGTGAATCATGGAATCCGGCTTCCCCCATTGACTTGATTTGTGGGAAGATAGCTGGGAAGGTTGCAAATAGCAATCATGTGACCCTGGAATACTGCAATCTATCGTGAATACATGCCAGATGCCAAATGCCTGAATTTTGATCACATGATCATGGGCATACTACAATGGTTGTAAGCAGCGGTGGAATTCAAAATATTTTACTACTGGTTCTGTGGGCGTGGCTTGGTGGGCGTGGCAGGGGAAGGATACTGCAAAATCCCCATTCCCTCCCCACCCCACTAACCTGCTTTCCAGCTCCGTTCTCCTGTGCAGGGCAACCAAAGAAGACCCAGCCAATCAGCTGGGACTTGGGAGGCGGAGAATAGATGGAGGCGGGACCAGTCAGAGGTGGGATTTGCCCGTTCTCCGAGCTACTCAAAATTTCCACTCCTGGTTCTCCAGAACTGGTCAGAACCTGCTGAATGCCACCTCTGGTTGTAAGTACAAGGACCAGTTGCAAGTCCCTTTACCAGTGTAACTTTGAACAATCACACTAAATGAATGGTTGTTAAGTCAATGGGATTGTAAAGAATATGATGATAGCTGAATCTCTTTCCAACTCCCTTGTCTTTAACTCAAAGTTATACTCAAGACACAGACATAAGTTGCTACCATCAAATATGATGACCCATCAGTTTAGATTTTTTTAAAGCAAATTTTATTAATTTTACAA